CTCGGGACCTAAGGGGGACTGATGATGATGAAGGCTTTGAAAGGGGGGTGTATGGGGTATATGGTAGTATGAGGAAGATGTATATGATTGCACCTATATATGTATGCAATATTATGATGAAAGTGATAAACTTGTATATATTCACGGCCCATTAGTACTCTCTCATTGAATCTGGCGCGGAGGCTGAGAAGAGCTGCAACACGTCCAGAACATTAGACGATCTAGGAATACTTTTTATCCTACCTATGTGACACAGCTTTCTGTTTGTGCAGTACAACAGCAGATTGTTGCCCAGTGTACTAACGCTCCAACAGTGCCAATATACTAGCTTGGCAGGAGATCTGCTAGCTGGATCTGCTAGCAAAATTTGCGTGATTGGTGAATCCACAGAGGATAGTTTATTCACGCTGGATGCATCCTTAGCATTCCCATCCCACATGAATATTGAGACAAGACAGTCTGAACCAGAATGAGTTGACAAGTCCTTGTCAAGGGTGGTGTTCAGAAACACCATGTTAGTCGCGGTCCAAAATGTCAAACTCAGGCCAACAGAACTCCATCTACGTACCTGCTGCAGAAGCTCAATTTACAAACAGATGCTTCTTAGAAGTAGCTAGAAACGTCAGCTCGTCTCAATCTGTCCAGCTTCTAAAAGATAAAACCCTGCTGAGATTATCTGCCCCATACTACATACAGTTGTCAGGCAAATAACACCAAAATGTGCCTGGTCTTCCACCGGCACCTGCTCACAGCATACTTCATCAAAGACCAGTCCGACAGCGTGTTATGGTCTGCCTTTGAAATCATTGCACATGACTTGCTCACCTGACGCCGAAAGGAGTCCCTTTGCTTCTGCTGCTCTGCAACAAGCAGCGCAAGGTACACCGCCTCGGAAAACAAGGTGTGCCCCTACCGTAAGGCGATGCAGAATGCAACACCGGCCAAGATATGGTGCACACAAAAGCTCAACAGCTTCCTCCTGGTGTACCCTGCATGTGCTTCACTCTCAATGCAACCATTCGTTGCGCGTGCTAGCTTCTACTTCTCGAATTCTGTGAAGAGGTCAGGAAGGAGGAGAGGAGAAATGGCACCATGGCCCTGGCTCTGCGGGGTTACTCTCCAGATTGGACCAATAAGAAGCAAGGATTGCAGGCTTTGAGATAACCTAACCCGGCGGTTAGCTGCAGCCAATGCGAAGTTCGGAACGAGTACGACAAAATGCGGCGATCTACCTGTTTTTGGAGAAGTTACTGGTTCCGTAAGATGGATCACGTATGCAAAATTTTTTGAAGTTTGCGTTGCCGTCCGATGGGTCTGCACAAAAACTTCTCATTGGTCCGGCGGGCGCGACGCTCAAAAACTTCCCGGGGCATGGCGAAAATGTGGCCATCCTGGGCCGCCACCCAATGGCGAACCACCTTTCTTTTTGGGACCGTCTCGACAATTAGGGCCTGTCGATGGGAGCACACCGGGCACCCGATCCGGCTTATAACACAATATCTAGCGGAATCCCATCGGGTTCAGAACCCTGTACTCTTCACGTTCACCCGCTCTGACCATTTGCCCACCATGGACACGTGGCAATTCGGGGAGGCGCGGGAAGGTTTGAGGAAGCCGCGATGCGAGTGCGAGGCGCGCGCGGATACAGAGCGCGCACGCGTGGCTTGAGTTCCGAGTCGCGCGCTGGTCGCCGGGGACACGTGGCACTTTGATGAGACACGGGGAGTCCACGTGGCACACAGGATTGCACAGGGTGATGCGGTCTAGGCAGGACGTAGCGGGCGCGCATGTTGCGCGCGCCCAGAAGCAGCATTTGATGACGTGGCTGATCGCGCTGAACTTCCTGAGGCTTTGTGAGGCAGCCCGCAGCTCAGACAGGGCCGCGGAGTACCTTCTGGCCTTGTGGATGACATGGAAATATCGTGGGGTGCCCGTGAGCAGAGCGGGCTTACTTCAGAAGGCTCCAGGGCAGGGCGGGCTGGCCCAGGGGCAGCCCGCTAGCAGCCCGCTGGCAACCTGCGGGCCA